TCTCCATGGGGTTTAGTTTAGGTGAGCTTGCTTGTGGGCTGTGATACCACGTTCATTAAGTATTAGTACTTTTGGCAGTGTGACAAGATCCTAAGTCCTGCTTGGAAACTAAATCAGCATCTCCATAAAGCTTGTCAGCAATGGGAAACATGAAGTGCTCTAAAATTTCCTGGTAGACAGCTGTGCTGACTTTGGACTTGATAAAACACATTGGACCAACACCAGCAGATGTCACGGCTCCCAAAATCATCATTCACTGTGGAAACTTCACACTGGACTTACAGCAATTTGCATTCTGTGCCTCTCCCCTCTTCCTCCAGACTCTGGGAGCTTGATTTCTAAATTAAATGCAGATTTGACTTTCATTTAAAAGTATCTGGACCACTGAGCAACAATTCAGCACTTTTTCTCTTTAACCCAAACTTCGACTTTGTGTCAGATTCATGTGAGACAGCTGTAGTTCAAGTCCTGGATGCATCTGTGTCTAGTGGCTCATAAAGCTCCAACTCCAACCGCAATGCACAGTTTGTGAATCTTTTGAATGAGCTTTGTTTCACAATCTTTTCAAGATGGCGTGTTTTCCTGGACCCTTTTCTAACCGACCTTTTTCTCACACTTAACTTTCTATTAACATGCTGGGGTATAGCAATTTAGGCGGCCAGCTTTATTTCTGGTAGTTTTTATGTCCAAGTTGTATTATTTTAACTGTGTTTTAAGAATAAATGGGCACTGACATTACACTAAATGGAAAATTCATCTGTTGCCTAATAAGACACCATTACTTTAAACAGTTCACACTTACATTCTTTGTTTGAGCTTATTTTTCGGTCGTCCAATCGGCTTTGCATATCGACGCTTGATCTCGTCAGCCTTCCTGTGCAGCAGCTTTTTGCCGTTCTCCTTCGGCCTGCACACTTGGCAGATCCAGGTTCCTGGAGGGCATCCAAGCAGAGAAGTACCATTTTATTTTTGGTAGGGTTCATCAAGCAAGGGGACAAACAGCACATTCATTTCAAACATTTCCTTTAATGCACAGCGCTGGCGAGAATCCCACCAGCTTACAATGACCAATCAATTACTCAGCACAAAGCGAAAATCCATAGGAAAAACATGGGGTCAATTCTCTGGCTGGTGAAATAGACTTCGTGTCAGCTTGTTGAGCTGAGCTATGTGACTTGTATGCACTGCCTGCCAAATACCCAACTACAGTACGTGTGGCATCATTACAAGCCTTGCTGTAGGGTCAGTACTGTAATCCAGAGATAGAAGATCTCCCCAGGGATGCTGGGACAATTTGATATGCATGCAAAGCCCCTAATAAGCCACTGCTGCTTCTTGGTGTGCTGAGTGACAGCCCCAAACGGCCGTCTGTGAAGCAAAGGCTTTGAATTGACAGCAGAAGGGGAGCAAGCAGAGAAGGCAGACAGTGTAAACACCTCACCTTTTGGCATTCTTGAAAGTGGCGGATCACAGCATTCCATGTGAAAGCCCCGATCGCACGAATCGCAGAAAAGCATCTCGTCCTGAAAGGGAACAGCAGGTGTGTGTAAGTGACGTCCCAGCTGCATACGTGTAACACCACTGTCATTTAACGTCTTTAGGAGAAATAAGCCCAACTCTGCACACGAGAGGGTTTGCAAATCTTGACAAATCCTCCGAGATCTACCGTCAAGCCATCGGCACTAAAAAGGGTGTATTATAGATGAACACATTATACTCACAGCATTTTTCCCCTGTATTCGACAGGAGCTGCAGGTTTTGCATTCAATGCACTGCCACCGTAATCTCTTTACATTTGAGGTCAGCTCGGGGGAGAACTTTAGACATGATGGATGCCCTTGAGAAACGACAACACATTTTAGTATGACATGCTTCTACCAGCGCAGGCTTGAGTCAACAAGCAACAGCTATCGTTTTCCATCTCTTCACACATTAAAGTTAAACATTAACACCAAAAATCATAAAAACAATGGTGTGCCTGTGTGTCCGCGCCACTCTCTCTCCTCGCCACGACTTCTGCCTAAAAACAGTATGATCAAACATCTGAGCTGCTAATTACAGATAATTTGATCTTAATGAGGCAGAAACAGCAGCAGAGCTCTTTCTAATGGAAGGCGATCCATGAAAGTCATGTAAAAAGCTCGCCATCTCTCTCACGCTGCTCCCTCTCATGGTTGTAAAACAGCTGTTTTACAGTGAGAGCACAATTTGTGTACACTAAAAGTGGTTAATGAAAACCACCTCGACGGCGCTCTGTCAAATTTGAGCTATAAAAATGTCACCAGGAGAACAATTCCTTATGGCGTTTAAAATAATTGTTCAAACATAAATGACTCCTTGGTTGAGGTAATTTTACGGGAACAAAGGACCACTAAAAGGAATACCAACAATCTGCCGTGAGGCAGGAACGGGGCCATAACTGGGACGTTCTACTCCACAACCTGAACCTGGAGAAAAAAATGACTTGTATTGATTTTGGACTTTGACAGTCACCTGGAATAGTTTTACTCCTGCCAGACTTGCAATTCACAAAGTTAGATTTTTTTGTTTTTTTGAATGTTTGGATAAGTCAAGAAAAAAAATGGATTTCCAAATTGCATTCCATGCCACATTGTCTAAATCCATCTGTTTGTTCACCCAATCCAGCAAGACTTCATTAAACACAATAAAGATGGATGAGAAAAAGAAAAAAAAACACAGTCACCATTTATCTGACTTTTAATAAAGGCTATCATTTCATCATCTTAAATGTTAGAGAAAAGTCAAGCAGAGTAAAACAAATTTGCATCTGTAAAAATATATAAATCACACTGAATAAGTTAAAAAAGTTGGCCTTTAGGAAATGGCAGAATGTGCATATTTTGGGGGGAGTTTTATCATGTGTTACATTTGCACTACATGATTTAATTAGACTCTCAGCATCGCCAGAAGCTGCGACTTCTTAGCTCGCACCAAAAGAGTCAATCATCCGTCCGCAATGTAACGCTACACCGATTCTAGATAAAAACCCACCAGTCCATTTAAACACTTACAGTTTCCATAAAGTTGACTCTAGTAAGACAGTTGTATGCTCAGTGACGACAAAAAAAAAAAAAAAACAGGAAAGTTTGCTTACAGGGCAACTTTCTGAATAAATCTTCAAGCAGGATGCTACTTTTTATGAGGCCAACACAATTTTTGCTTCAGTGAGTCGTCAATTATTTCAAATTCACGGGCACAACAATGTCTTCTCTGGTCTGTGTATAATAAATTCTTTTTGCTATAATAAAACTTCAAAACTGAGGCAAGTCTAAAATAATTGCTTCTATGCAGTGTTGGTTGTTTGTATTTGAGGACAACCATGTGTTTGTGTGAAACTGGCTATGCTCTCAGCAGGTCCTTTAAAATGTTTGCTGGACTTTTAAAAAATGTTTCAGCTTTATATAAGTTATGGCATTAAAACAAGTTGAACTTCACTGCAGAGGTCTAAAGCTGTGATGGGAAAATCAGTCAACAGGACAACTTTTACTCTTGCACGCTACAAATCTGGCTTTTATGTAAAAGAGTTGGATGTGATGGCAGCACCATGTTGAGGACATTACTGGTCAGAAACACTATCCACCAAATCTGACTTTGATTGGTTCTAGATATGAAAAGCCCATAAGGATCAAAAAAGTTGTTCTTTAAAGTCTTTTCTTTGATGCTTTTCAAATTTTATTTATTTATTTTTTTTTGGGGGGGGGGATACTTTGAAAATATCCTGTCTTTCACTTTTTATATCACAACTACGACTACCTATCCTGAACATTTTTCCCACCTCTAATCCATCCCAATTCCAATTTTTGTGCTACTTTTTTAACGTCACTTTAGTGTCTGTAACAGAAAGCAATGATTTTGAAAACGTTTGCTCAATGAAGCGTTACAGAAGCCTGCTTACCACTGCTTCCACAGTCTGCACAGGACAGCAGCTCTTCCGGCCGCTTGTCCCGATTTGACTCCTTCGTCCCGAGACAGAAACTGCATATTGGGATGGGGTCGACCCGGAGCTGAGTGGAGAAAAAGAACAGAAAGAAACTATTTAAAACGCATGAATAGGAAGTAGCTATTAGCATGTTTCGGTGCGAACTTTAAGAGATGACTGTAGCATTATCTCTGGTTGAGTCAAAGAGGATAAAACTAGTTTGTGGGTTTAATAAAACAGTGGCAAAAATATCATCTGAAAGCAGAAGCTCAGAAAATGGGGGGGGAAAAAAGAGAGGAGTTCTCACAGACTAGAAATGAATAATAAATGGCTTTCATCCTCAGAGAAATGCTGCGTTTGAGATCCACCTCCTTTTATCCATTACATCTGAATGTGTAAGTGATCTTGGTAATCATAGTTTAAGGGCTTAATCCAATTCTTAAAGCTTGCACTCGAGTCTGAAAGGATTAACCAGCATGTAATCAAATTACCTCAATAATATAACATGCTCTCATTGTTACTGCCGTGATCCACTGTAAATGTTGCAAGTCTCAGAACAAACACTCATTTAAGGGCTTATGGCACAGTTCAGGAGTAAAATATGAGCTCGAGGTTTAAGAGGATTTCTCCCCATTGATCATTCAGAATGAAGGAAGGTAAAGAAAACTTAAGTGTCATAACTTGACACAGGAGCTGTTTAAACGTAACCGATCATATGTGGAAATCAAGATCAAACATAACGGCTCAAGCGGAGCAGCAAACAGACTACTGGGAGGAAGTTCATAATGGAAAATAACACTCTCTGGGTGTGACCATAAATAACCCACCTCATCATCAGTTTACACACTAAGGCCTTACCAACTGACTTCGGCTCTGAATGGCACTCTGGGGATGCCCATAATTAGTTCCTGGTTTCTATGACGCAGATCAGCATCCTGAGTCAAACCAAATTTGCATCTTTCAAATCTACCCCGGTGCTGACCTTGAGCTGGCCTCCACTCAATCACACAGAGGTGGACATTTTATTTGTCATTTCCTTTACGTCAATACACACAAAGTAGGAGGAGCTGGAGCACTTTTATTTTAATCTGTCACACCATCCAAATGATGCCCAGGGGGGTGGGAAGCAGAGGCCGTTTGGTCATTGTTCCTGGCTCCATCAATGTGTTGTTGTAGAGAGGGGAAGCAGTTTACTTCCACGTCGATGATTGCTCTATTTTCCAACCTGCCAGGTCAATATATGGGGCATTAGGTGAACCAGAAGCGACTGGAAAAGAGGAAAGTCCACAAAAATTTGTGACTGCTTGATAAAAATACTTAAAATAAAATTTATTGGACTCAATTGAGTTTTACAGTTATTTTCTGATATTGGCTACGGAAGACCGTTTGGCATTCTTATTACACGATTTCACTCAGTTTGTGGTAAAAAAATACTTAATCAACGGTCGAAAGCAATTCATGCAGCTTTGACAAATGTTTAAAAAAAAAAAAAAAAAAAAACCATATAACTCTAACCAACCGGACATGGGTCGTTCAGCATACCGACACTTTGCGTTTCAATACTGCGAACCTTTTCATCATACCACTTCAATGTTTTGCAATGCTTTTAATGAGTTGTTGGAGAAAGAGCCAGAGCGACTTGAGTTTTTTTCTGGCTTTATCGAGTGCAGATTAATGAAGCATTCCCTTTCTTCCAATTGTTGGTGCCCGCTCCCTGTCAGCTGGCCTAAATAGAGAAACTATACTTTTACTTCATCAACAAGAAAGAGAAACTCAACTCTTTGCAAACACTCCTGCTCATTAAAACAGACCGTCTTGTGGAAACGAAGCAGGATCCTATGACACTGCTTCAAAACAGTTGGCAAGCTACAAGTGATGGGTTTGGAAAGCAGTTGACTGCAGGCTTTATACTGCAGCAGATAGCCCAGCTAACATAAAACATATATTTTAGTAATTCTACAAAGAGTGAAATCGTTCTACTGAAATCATTCTAATCATTGCATAACTCAAGACCACCATACTATGATAATCTCATGTTACCCCATGTCTAAACAACAACATGAGGGGGAAACAACACATGTAAGAACCACATTAGCTACAGCCTCTCTTCCAAAGTAGTAGTCTGGAATAGAACAGAAAATATGTGACTTTTATTAAAAGTTCAAAGTTGATACATTTATGGCCCAAAAATGTTAGTTAGTTGTTATGTGTTCAAAAAGTAGGAAATAGGGAAATCAATTGGCTGATTTTGATCTTTGATTGACTGATTAATTCGTGTTTTATACTTTTGAGTTACAAAAAAATTAGCAAGCAAACTGACAATGTAGTAACATTTCCAAACAGAGGATCATAACAAGCTCTGAGCTATGAAGCCTAACCCAGGAACTAGATTAATTTCCATAAGGATTTCTTTTTTTTTTTTTTTGCTCTAGTGATTATAATCAATAGCAATTTGCAATTTATAAGAGGCTAAAATGCAAAAAATAAACACAGCTGTAGAGATGCTGATGATTTACTTGGGGATTCTAAATTAAGAACATTACAGGAAATTATGCTGCTTCAAAAGAGCAGGCTGTCCTGAGTGAGGGGGTGGGGTCCTATTAGAACACTGCTGGTAGAGCGAGAGGGAGCTCAAGTGGTTGCATAACACAGCAGGGGAAAAAAAAAACAAAAAAAAAAAAAACACTCTCATTCCTTGTCTTTGTTCCTGCCAGAGTCTCTTCAGAATCTAATAAACTCTAAAACCAAGACTGCTCTTTTTTTAACCTCAAAGCATCTCTCATTATCAGCACGCACACACACGCGCTCTCTCGTTGCCCCTTAACAGCTAAGCAGGCAGAAACGTCTCATCCTTTGAAGTAAATGTTAAACCTGAACTGGTGAGGTGATGTCATCAAGGGCCGGGAGCGAGGGGTTGAAATGTTCCAAATGGAAAACAGTGGGGCCCTTCCTGAGAAGAGCCGTCGCAGGACACAGTGTCTCTGCAGCACTTCTCGGTTTCACTTTTGGCCTGACCACAGACAACAGTCACAGTTGTGGCTGCAGTATCAAGGTGTCGCTTCCTGATTATTCACTGCGAAACTGCCGGGGAGTGGGGTGACATCTCTGTTGCCTGATGCAGCTCACCACTTCAGCTGCACAACTTGTGCATAAAGCATGAGACCGCGCTTAATCTCGATAAGCCCCAACACGAGATACGTTAAAAGCCTCTACAACAAAACCAGACGCCTGCACATTGCGCTTAATAGAAGCTGCAAAAAGACAACTGTTTTCCATCAAAAACTACAAATCACATTGCAATTAGCATAAGTGCTGCCATTTCTGGGACGTTTCGCATTGCAAAGGCATCAGAAAACAGAAACACAGGAGGAGGCGAGAACAGCGGTATCGATGCTAACCTGGAAGTTTGTTTGTCAGGTTCTTATTTCCTCCCTCTGGCATGTTTGTTTGCACGAAGCTCATAACAGCTGCATGCAGTCAGAGAGCACTCCGGGTTCCTTACTCAACACATTCTCATGCCCCCTACAAATTACCAATAAAATAGCTGTTCTATTGCAGCTCGTAAGACAAGTCAGTCCCATCCTTTAAGGTCATTAGGATAGGGTTGCATAACCTATGGGAAGACCACTGCAGACTGCCTACCACACACAGTCAGCATGACTTTCTGATTGTCCAAGCTCTCTTGTTATGGAACTAGCAACATGGACGTAAAAGGATGGACTCTAAATGGCATCTAAAAGCCCCAAATATTAAGGCTTTAGTAGTGAAATTCCTACAAAGAAAAAAACTCTATCCAGGATTTAAATTCATTTTGGACAAAAAAAAAACAACTTTACCTTTCACAACCTTGCAGTGCATTTTAAAAGGGAAAGTTCAAGACGTTTGAAGTCAGGTTTTGTTCAAAATAATTCTTCTTCGCTTGTATTTGGGTGGATGACGTCACAAGAGGCACATGAGTCAAGCTGATCAGCAGGTAACAATAAACACCTTTGAAGGGGACATTTGGCTTAAAACAGAAATAAGGAGAAAAGAAATCTGAGCAGCTGTATTATGTGACGTCATGGACGCTTGTTTTTATGAGAGACTTTATCAAATACTAGCAAGACAAATAGAAAGCAATGCCCATCGCATTTCTAAGCAGTGTCTAAATTATTTTTACGTGATTTCGCAGCAGAGGTGGGCCAATTTGGTCCTCAAAGGGACATGTCCTAAAAATTTTAGATGTGCCCCTGCTCCAAACACCTGATTCAAATCATTAAATTAACTCCTAAGCCTGTTTTCAAGTTGTGCAGCTGCTTGCTAATGATCCCCTCATTTAAGTCAGCTGTGCTCAAGCAGGAAAACATCTAAAACCTGCACCACATCATCCCTTGTGGACCAGTTTTGTTCAGATAGCAGCTTTGGTATCCTGCCTTCCATGTATGGCTGCTTTAGTATCTTTAAGTACAAATTCAGATTAGTTAGACCTTGAAGCAAAAGATAAAGGTTGGTTAATACACCAAGACTGAAGTGACCCCTACCACCTTAAAACAATTCACATTCCCCAAAACGCCATGGCAGTTTATGAAGAGTTACTGTCAGTGGTCAACTGGTTCAATCAAGAAAAAGAAGTAGCTTGGTTTCCACAGCCAGAAAACCAGCAAAGATTTGTGAATTTATCAGTTCTAGATTACACAGATCACACTTTTATCTTAATGTAACTTCAAACAACTAGCCCATTATCATCAACTTAATTTATTCACGCCGTTTTAAGCAACATCCTGTAGTTGTGAACATTTCATAAGCAGCTAAACTATAATCAGCACCGGCACTGCTGCAGGAGGCAGTTCAACACTGTGCTTAGACTAGAGGAGGATTCAATAACCTAATTTTTAAAAGACCGGCAGCGTCTAAGAACTGAGTCGAAGATGGCATTTATGCAGCTAGCATTAAATATCAGCTGTAAGGGCTGCTCTATGCGGTGCATTCATCCAATCAAACTCCACGACAAATGCCAGCAGGAAATAGAATGTGAGCTCATGTTTACCAATGCTAATTAACTTTGTATTAATTCTGAAGCTCAGTGGTTTTCTTGCTTTTTTGTCTTCAATTAGGCAGATGAAAATCAAAGCTAACTCAGGAGCTTTAAACATGGCTGTCATCTTTTTTTTAATTGGTTGTTGGTTTCATGACACTAACCTATCCCTTAAAGAGAAAACTTCTTCCTTGCGGTACGGCTCAAAGCAGCAGCGGCTCATGGATTCCAGAGGAAGAGCTTTACTTTTACATGAGGTAGTCATCCCCACTGGTAAGTATACTTTAAATGTTAAGCTCTCAGGTTGATTATTGGTGGTGCACCCACTCTGACCCCCATCTTCTCTTGGAAGTGGGCTGGAGTTGTTCCAGGACGATAAAAGTCAGTCTTGGTCTTGGCCATCTCTCTCACTCAGGGTTTCTGCAGGTTTCACCAATTTCACCACATTTAAGACTTCTTAAGAACTTTTTTTTTAATTTTTTACACAGAATAAATGTAGCATCATATGGGTTGGCAACGGAAGTGATCCAATGGCAAAGATGAACGACGTCCACCCTACTGGCGATAAGTTTGCACTTAACCTTTGACGGAGGCAGAAAAGCAAGCTTGCTAGCCTTTTATTTTAGATGGCTAGTTTATCTCCTCCCTCCATTTCCACTCCAGGAACCAGAACCAATAGTTCCTTCTAACATAGCTGCTAATATACATTTGCTAGCTAGCAAGTGTAAATTAGCAGATAGCTACCAGTAGTCTCAACTGCCATGAGACACACAACACAATAAAGTGACATAAACATTAGCCTGATGGGAAAGTCTCATGACAAAAAAAAAAAAAAACCTACATAGTATATGAGAGATTAAATAGTAATGCCGCAACAAAATTTAAGATCTATGATTCACATATTTAAGGCCAACGTAACTTTTTTAAATTAATTTTTTAGGCCTTGATTTTAGATACTTGAATTTAAGACATTTCAGGATGCACGGACCCTCCTCGCTTTACCCACTTGGACCTACGAATGTGGAGTTGAAACAAAAGATTCCTGTATTGCAGGTAAGATTTTATCTGTCTAAATTTTTTTAACATAACCTCACTTCAAAGACTCACAACTGTCCCTGGCCTTTAGGGATAATGCTCCCTGCATCACTGAAAAATTAATTGTTTAAAAACATTTATTTATTTATTTTTTTAAATTTTATTAGCTTGGAGTAAGTGAGTGAGAGTGCAAAGGTCAAGGTGCATATACCTGCTCGCGCTCATGAGGGAGGAGTGTCACTGATGACAGGACCAAGGGGGAAGCACTTGGACACCTGGGGTTCCTTCCCTCCACACTGCCATGGCTGAGTTTATACCGAGGGCCGTTTTTTAACAGCCTGCCATTGTTGACTGACCGCTTAGCGGCTAGCCGCAACCTTTGACGGAAAGCGGAATTATCAACAACTTCTGACAGATCGTCCTGATTCCTCAGATATCGCTCAATGTTCTTAAGTGAGGAGCCATGGGTATCATCCAGACCCTCGATGGCCCTCCTGAGTATTTTATTCCAATCGATATGGCGCAGATCACTTGAATTCCATATAGATTCCTTTGACGGCAAAGGTGCATTTGCAGGCAATATTGATCCGATTCTTCCAGGGTTTCCTGGGTCCTTGTAGGAGGCGCTTCCTTTATTTGTAACCTTAAGGACAGAGCCATCATGAACACTTAAATCCAACTGCTCAAGGACGATCTTCTTGTCCAGTCCATGCAACGTGGACACCGCATGACAAATTCGCTCCTCAGAAGGCCTCTGCTTTTGCCTCTTAATTTTCTGTATTGCTTCGAGAATCCACTCCGTGTAGAGAGGGTTTGCAAGTTTTACCATGGTTGAACAATAAGCCTCACAGAAACGTGATCCATAAAGATTCCCTCTTTCTGCAGCCGAAAGCAAGGTACATCCACATCCTTAGGTAAAAGGTCAGGAAGTTAGGTTCCACAACAGCATCCAGAAATATGTCCTCAGGGTCCAAGGGTGAGCTTGAGGAAAAGTTGGCACGAGTAAATTCCACACTGGTGTAGGTATCACATGACCTGGAATAGGTCTGTATTAAAATCCGAGATCAAATCTGCAAAGGGAAACAGAAAAACAAATGAATATTGAGACGATTTAATTACTATTCACAATATGTACAATATTCACAGCTATGGCATGTTTGGTATAAATCAGCTTTAAACTGATTGGTGACAAACCAACACAAAGTAGTACATAACAGTTAAATGGTAGAAATTTAAAACGGTGTTCAAAACTTTTTACGTATACAAATCTATAAGTGTGCTTTATTGTGACGGCACTAAATACAATCCAGTGCAATAAACTGGCTTCAGAGGTTTCCTAATTAGTAAGCAGAGTACACCTGATTGTAGCGTAATCTAACAGGTTTCGGATGATTGTTAGAGAACATTAGTGAGCCACAAAACAAGGAACACACCAGACAGGTTAGGTTACGGTGTTTGAGAAGTTCAAA